TATCTATCTATCTATCTATCTATCTATCTATCTATCTATCTATCTATTGATCTATCTATCTAGAAATGAGAGCTTGTTAGCTCTGATTTTGAGTGGTTGTGGTTGAAGTCCTCCACGAGGACTTTAAATTTGGAATAGTTTTCCTGGGGGCCCCAGGTGCTATAATAACATGTCACTAAATCAAAAAAATCTTAGAATTGAAAGAGACTTTAGAGATCATCTAGTCACCCCTATCTTAAGTATGTTAGCGAACACACACACACACACACACCAGGAAAACCTGAATAATCTGTGAGTTTACAAAATGTAATAAATAGGTACAGTAGTTAGAAACTAATCCCAGTAAGTCCCAAATAAAATCCCCAAATTCTGAGGGCAAAGTCAGATGATGGCACCCTTTGAAAAGGAAGCTAAGAAGAATCATCCTAAAATGAATTCAATTTGCCATCTTTAATGCATATCAAACTATGAAAGGATTGATAAATAAGTCCCTGGTGAGATAAAGGTATCTACTAAAATCTCATCAGGAAGATACCAGTCCCAAATTAATACAAATCAAATGCAATCTACTTAATCTTTGCTGAGGCGATATAATGATAGAAGGTTTTTAGTGACTGATGAGGAAAATGAGGAAAAAATGATTGAGCAATAATTAACCATTGCATCTTCAGCATTGTCCAGGACAGAGAAGTGTCCCGACTAACTAACACAAGTATTAAGGTCCATTTGGCAGGAAGTTTACCTGCCTCACAGAATTTCCACACCCTCATTTGTCTGGGCCGAACTCTAAGTCATTCACCTAGAAGATCGTTACTGCCACAGCGGCCACACACTTAGCCAACCGCTCACAGGCTGAATGCCTGGCGGCTCTGGGCTTCCAGGTGGGTGGGGTTGAATTGCAGTTGGCTCTGGCGGGATGCCTCAACATCTGAATCCAATTATCCTGACAATATACACAATGAATATCAAAGAAGGTTTTTTGTTTTCTTAAACCCTCAACATAGTAACAGCAAATATGTACATAGTGCTTTAAGGTTTAGAAGCTGAACTCGTTTGATTCTCAAAACAATCACATGAATTAGGTCATTCCCATTACCAAGAACCTGCGGAGGCATTAGGACACTGGGCTTCTGACTGCAGCGTTTTTCTCCACTGCTCCAAAGGGCTTTCCAAATATAGCATAAAAAGGAAAAGAGCATAGATTTAGAGCTGGAAGGGATCTTAAAAGATATCTTGTCCAACCTCATTTTACAGTTGAGGATAATAGATGTCTCAAAGCATTTAGCACACAATGCAGCTAAATTTTTCTATAGAAATGACTAAAATCACACTACAAATATTGTTTAATTTTATTGACAAATTTTAATTTGCAGTATAGACTTAAAAACTGTCTTTTCTTTTCTCAAAGACTCATATAGGTTTCTTGAAGGAAACACAAAACATAATTCTTCACTAATAAGAGCTATAACAGCAATCCTCTCTCTTCATTGTTTAAAGTGGGCCATATTTGGAGTCATAAGAACTGAGTTTTAATCCTAGCCTTGACACTTATTAGTTGTGTGACCTTTGGCAGGGAACATTCTTTTCCAAATTTTAGTTTGCTTATCTGTAAGATGAGGAATGATACTTTCATTTACCTATCACCCCACAGGACTGTTTTTAAGCAAGAATGAATGGAAACTATTATTAAATTTCTGGAAAAACTGCAAGTTGACTCTGAACTTTGCCCAGGGCAGACGGGACAGGGGCTGCTACACAGTAGGCGCTTAATAAATGCTTGTTGGCGTGACCTTCTCAGTTGCAACAATAGCTCCTTCAAATGGACAGTTTTGTAGGTGATTTCTCTTAGAAATCAACAGAGCGCCCAATCAGTGAGCATTGGGCAGTCTTCCACCCGAAAAGCCCCAGTAGTGACAGCAATGGGACTTCAAATCCCAGCAAGCGCAGTTCTCGCGGAGGCTCACGGGCCCCGGCGGCCTCTCCGGTGGGCTAGGTCTACGTAGTGGCGCTCGGCATTCTGGGAGCTGTAGTCCCGCCCCTACAGAAGAGCCCCCTCTTTTGAATGGGCACGGGGTAACCTGGAAACTACAGCTCCTCGGGAGGAGTGGGAAGCCGGCCCTGCCCCTGGAACCCCCGGAGCCCCCGGAGGAGATGCTCATGGCTGAGGTGGACGGAGCAGCCCGGCGCCCAGGGACAGCGGCTTAGGCATCCCGCTCCGGCCACCCCCAATTCCACTCCAGGGCCGCCATGCACCAGGCCTGCGCTGTCGGCTTGGTGTTCGCCGGCTGTTGCAGTAACGTGATCTTCCTGGAGCTCCTGGCCAGGTAAGTGACCTCACCCGAGGCGGATGGGCGCGGCCCGGGCTCCCCGAAGAGGGGAGGCGCGCGCCCCCAGCCGGCCGTTACTCTGGGGTGGCCCCGCGCCGGGCTCGGAGGGGCGGGGGCCCGGGAGACGGGGAGGAGGGAGCAAGAGGGGAAGGGGCCCCGGGAGGGAGCCGGGGGAGAGGAGGAGGGAGGGAAAGACGGAGGGAGAGGAGAGGAGGGAAGAAGAAGGGAGAGCCAGGGAAATGGGCGGGGGGGCCCAGGGGAAGGAGATGGGGGGAGCAAGGGAGGCTGAGGGTGTAGGAGCCTTTCCACTGTTCCCGTTATTTTGCCTCCCGCACAGCATCCCCTGGAGGCTATCACCACCACCACTACCTTAGGCATTTACATAGGGCTCTAAGGTTTGCCAAGCCTTTTAGCATTGGCTCCTCTCCTTTGATTCTCACTACTTGGTGAGGTAGGCCCTGTTTTAATTACACAAATGAGGAAACTGAGGCTGAGAGAAATTAAGAGACCTGCCCAGAGCCACTGAGGCAGTCCACGAGTGGTACACTATCCACTCCACTGCCTAGCTTGACCAACTTCATTTCACAGAGGGGGAGAAACCCTCAAAACTATAGACTCCGTATTTTAGAGCTGGAAGGGACCTCAGAGGTAGCCTTCATTTTTACCAGATATGAAAACTGAGGCCCAGAGACTTTAAATAATAGGAAGTAATCTGACGCCTACAGAAGGTGGAATTTGAGCTAAATCTTAAAGGAAGCCAGGGAAGCCAGAATGTGGAGATTAGGGAGAATATTCCAGTTATGAGAGACAGCCAGTGCAAAGACATGGAGGTGGGAAATCAGAATGCCCTGTTGGAGGAATAGTGAGTAGGCCACCGAAGTTGGGTCATAATAGCGTGTGGAGGCCAGTCACTGTAAGAATGGAAAGGTAAGAAGGTGGCGTATTAGAGGAGAGATTTGAATACAGTTTCTTTGACTAGGAGAGGAAACATGAGGGAATGGATAAGAGTCTGCTTGGCAGCCAAAAAGACCTGGGTTCAAGTCCTCACTGGGCAAATCACTTAACTTTTCAGTGCTCTAGGCAACTCTAAGTTAGAGGGAATTTCCTTAAACAAGAAGCTCCTATCTCAAAGAAGTCCAGTCTTTGGTCCCTTGTATTTGGATGTTAGGGGATCATCTGATCCAGGGCTATTTAGCCTTTGTGTATATGGTGGACCTTTTTGTCAGTGAAGCCTGTGGACAGATTTTCAGAATGATGGTGAGCTTGTTTCCCAGTAGTCCTTGGCCCTGCACAGCTGCCTCTTGAGCATATATTGTTCAAAGATTTTAGTACCTTTCCTTGTTCATCCTAGAAATTCCTTTGGCTGTCCTGCTGCTTTGATAGGGGCATAGTGAAATAAGTGACCTACCCCAAGTAAATTCAGTGAAATTTTTGCTTTGTTCTCTCTGTAAGCTAGTTATGAGCAAAGTGTTGGGAGTGTATTATTAGTTATTCATAATCCTAGGATAGGGTTTAGGGGCCTTTGTAAGAAAAAATATTGGGCCCTTTACCTGAAAGGGAGATCAAAATATAAATTAGCAAAAAGGCCAGTATAGTCTTATCAGCCATGGGAGGGAGAATCTGTAGGGGTGAGGAGAATCAGTCCTGAGTATGCTATTAGTTGGGATTAAATCCTAGCAAGGACTGTGTAATATTAGACTATGCAACCACCTCTAGAATCTTAGAGTATATTATGGGTGCATTTGATAGGTTCTTGAAAGGTTGTATATATTTAATTTTATAAGTCAAATGAATTTACATGTACTAAGGTGGCTCCTTTTTATTTTTGTCCAGATCTCCAATTTCATTGGTGTAGGACAGAGGTGTCAAATTCAGATAGAAACGAGGTCACTGAATGTTGCATTAGGATCCCTGCAGCAGAATATCCCTTAGAAAACCAAAGATTAACATTATCTAGGTTTCATTGTATTCCAATTTATTTTGTTGGCAATGGATGCCCAGCATGGCAAGGCTGCTTCAAAAAAGGCTCTGTTCTCTGTGAGCAAAGCAGAATTGCAGTTGCTCAAAAGAACCTGTGCAAATTTAGTGACATCTGCACTGCAAATGTTCATATGGATTCTGACCTGTGGTAAAGCTTTCTGAGTTCATATTGATCCTGGTCAGTCACAGACCTGCACCTTGACTCCAATATAGTGATGTCATTTTGGTCCTCTTCGAGGATGAAGGACAAGAACCAATCAGCTATTTATTTTATTAAATATTTACATTTTAATCTGGTTCTGACTATGTTTTAGGCTGTTTGTTCAACACTTGGTGTCCATCACCATTGCATATGATTTGCAATTTAAGGCTTTGGAAAGTTTCCTGGTTGTCCTGAGAGATTAAGTGATTTGCCCAAAGAGGCTTTCTACCCACTACACTGTGTTTTCTCTTATGCTGGCATCTTTTATAAAGTGAATTAGCACGTTCAAATTTTATCTCTATGTAATTCTGGATTTTTTTTTTAAATATTCAGTTTCCGTAAGTTGGAGCCATTTGTTGTGGTAAGAGCCTTGAACTGGATGCCAGGAAACTTAGGATCAGATCTCATTCTAGCTAGGATAATTCATTTGACCTCTTCGGGACTTTTCTCATTTGTGAAGGAAGGATATTAATCTCTCAAGTCCCTTGAAGCTCCAGTGCTGTTGAAGAACATCCAAAGAGTTTACACTTCAATGGCTTCTCTCTATTTTTGAGGAGAGAAACTGAAATAGCAGAGATTTGCTTAGAGATATCAAATCATTGCCAGTCCTTTAATACTACTCTGCAGTTTAATTGATGCTTGTCATGAGTTGCAGAAGCTTAAAAAATTTGTCACCTGGTAACTAGTTAATAGGCCTCTCTAAACTTGGCTGGGCTTATCCTCACAACAAGCGTGCAATTATTGGGGTTCTACATGAAGAGTTTCTAGCTTGTCAAGATATGCCAGAGCTTTCATGTGTATATCTTAACCCAGGGTCTTCTTCATGCTCCAGCAGGAGTGACACATTAGACTAGGGCTCTAATTCAATATAGCTAGCAATAAATATAGTGTATATGATAATTTCAGTATCTCATCCAACCTAGCAGAGTGACATCATCTTCTGTCCTCCTAGGGCACTTGAGAAGAATGGGAGCTCCAGCCAATTGGTCCTTGTCTTGACTAGCAAACTCCCACCATGTCTCTTTGATTAAGAGCTATGGTCTAAGCAAGCCAAAGTCCCTGCTTCCACATCACTCCATGCCTCTATCTCCATCCATCTCAGTACACTTCCCCTCCTGAATCCTCACGTAGCTGTTTTTTCTTTCATTGGGCCTTTCAGAAACCCCATTTTATTATTAACAAACTTCCTTTCGTCTTTTAGCTTTCTCTTACACTCTTTCCATCTTCTCAAACTTACAGATACCTGGCTTCCCACAGAAGACCCAGCATCTTTGATCACCTTCTTCACTACTGGCCATACCTTATCTCATGTCCCCCAGCATGAGGGTTGTCATATTCTGCACCTCACTGCTATTACCTGGCCCGTTTAGTTTATTCTTTCATTATTTTAGCCATTTAAAAAAATATATAAATAAGAGGCTTTTTTCTTTTAAAGGCTTTTTTAAAAAGAGGCTTTTTTTTCTTTTGTTAACCCTCTCAGTTTTGAGAGGCAGCATGATGTGGGTAGAGCCTACTTCAGAGCTCCCAAAACCTGTGTGCCTCTGACCCAGTGTAAGTCACAGAGTGGGAGAGGACACCAAGATTCTTTAAATAGTAAAGCAAAACCAACTTGCATTCTTAGAGGGAGTTTCCTCACAAATAGTATTGTATACCATGAAATCACAAGTTGGATCCAAAATCCTTCACATCCCTAAAAAAGACAAACAACAACAAAAAAAAAAACTAACATATATGGACCTTGACAAACATAGTTCTGACATCTTCAGAGCAAACTAGTGAATAGATCATTCTGAGGATTTGTATCAACAGATTTATTCTTCCCAACCAAATTATAAGTTCTTTGAGGTTAGGCACTTGGCCACATACTCCTTTTGTACCCCATGATGTCTAGGAAAGTGTTGTGTGTGGAGTAGATGCTCAGTTTAGTTGTGTTGATGATACTAGCCTCAAATTACTATGTACTTTGTCCAAGGAACCAGATTCTTACTATTGTATACTAAACATAAAACATTTCTACAAATATTTAAAAAAAAAATGTTCATAGAATCATTGACTGTGACTAAAATTCTTCATCAGTTTTTCCTCCTTTTTTCCCCTTTATCTGTTTGTTTGGTGTATTTCCCTTATATAAAACAACACGAGTAAAACCTTTTCTTTATATTAAAGGGACACCTTTGGGTCATATAACTCACCAGTTATTTGAGTACCCACCATGTGCCCAAGTACTTGATGCACTAATGTTGGGAGAATACGAGCAAGTAATAATAGAAGTTATAAATTATGTATCCTGCATGTAGAAGATATAAAACATAACTCCAACAAGGTACTCACAGTCTAATTAGGAGACAAGTCATATACATATTCAACAATCGGAAAACGAGACTTCATTGATTATACGATAGTTGCACAGTGCAGATAAGTGTAGAAAGCTCTAGAGGAGAGAGATCATTTCTGGTTTAGGGGTGTGGATCACAGAGGAGGTGACATTTGAAGGTGGGCTTTGAAGAACATGTTGGCTACAGATAGCCAGAGAGTTGGATGAGTTTATACCAGTTATCATTGTACTGGAAGGAGACTTGGACTAGATCAGGGGTTCTTAACCTTGGATCCATGGCCCTCTAAAGAGTCAATGGATAGATTTCGAGCAGTCTATGAACTTGGACAGGAAAAAAACAAATCACATCTTTATTTCAATATAATTGGTTTCCTTTGTAATGCTATGTAAAGATATCCATAACCTTCATCAGATTGTCAGAGGAGTCTGACACATACAAAAATGGTTAAAAACCCTTGGTAAAGGATTCTCCAACGTCCC